ATTATATTGAAACATCTAAATTAAATACTACTTCACGTAATAATACGTACGAAAACGAAGAGATGCTTGTCTCTGAAGAAATTGATGATACTACTACGAATTGTGACGGATGCAACAACAGTGAAAACGAAAAGATTTGCTCTATAGATGAAGATTTATTTCAGAACAGACATATGGAGGAAGGAATCGAGGATAATGATCCTTGTCATACTGAAGCAATAATTATTAATGACGCAAACATAAAACATGACAATACCATAATGTTTGAAAGTTCTAAAACGACTGTTGATGAAGTTGTGCAAATGATACACAGTTACTGTGTTCGTTTCAATAGTTCAGATGAAGCAAGGTTTGCCTTATTTAATATGGCAAGTATTTGGGCGGGTCCTAAGTTTTCAAATTTTATGAATTCGAAATATGTGATAAGCAAACGTTTGGATCCTCCAGAAGAATTATTTCAATATATATTTTATTGTAGTAAATGCAATTGTTTATTAGACAAATTTTATAGAAAAGATTTGTTAACAACTACTTATCGGCATTGCGAGAAATGTCAAGAAACATATAAAATGAGTACTAATTCTTCCAACTGTTTCGTAAGTACAGATGTAAAATATCAAGTACAGGTTCTTTTACAAAATTCAAATGTGCGCAAATTATTATTTCAAAACATTAAGGATATTGAGAATAGGCTAAAAAATAAAAATTTAAATAATATCGTTGATATTCACGACGGTGAATTATATAGAAGGCTTTACAATAATAAACGCAAAAAAACAGTATTATTAACTTTTAATTTTAATTTAGATGGTGCATTTATTTCTAAAAGTAGCAAAAGTTCTATGTGGCCCATCCAACTAATAATTAATGAATTGCCGCTAAAAATACGGTTTAGCAATATATTACTTGCAGGAATGTGGATTACAAACTCTGAACCTAGCTCACAATTTATGAATTTATATATAAATGTTTTTATCAATCAGATTCGTGATTTGATGACAAATGGTATTATCATAGACATGGAAAATGGTCAAAAATGTAATTTTATATTACAACCCCTTTGTTCATCGGTTGACTCTGTTGCCCGGCCTATAATACAAAATCGCTTCCAATTTAACGGTTATTTTGGCTGTAGTTGGTGCTATCAGTATGGAGAGTATTTCAATGGTGCTATGCGATACCCTTTTATGGATGATGATCCGCCTTTAAGAGACCATGATTCATATATTAAAAACATAAAGTACGTTGAAGAAATAGGCAGACCATTTAAAGGTGTTAAAGGTTTCGCAGAAATTACTCAATTGGAAAATTTTGATTGTGTTTGGGGATTTCCGTTTGATTATATGCATGGTATGTTGCTTGGTGTTGCTAATACTTTATGGACAAAGTTTTGGACAAATAACAGAAAAGAAGAATATAATTTATCCAAAAGTGATATAAGAAATATTGAGAAACGATTGTTAAGTATTAAACTGCCAAGTGAAATTCACAGATCACCGCGATCATTTAATAGTGGAAAATGGAAAGCAAGTGAATGGAGATCTTGGATATTATATCTTAGCATTCCATGTCTTTTGGGAATAATGAAAACAAAATATTTAAGTTCTTTTGCGCTTTTAGTTCGTTGCACACATAAGCTTTTATCTGAAAGTATAACAATAGAAGATTTAAGACAATGTAAGATTGATCTTATGTATTTCACTGCGCAATGTGAAGAATTTTATGGAAAAAGTAGTATGAATTTCAATACTCATGCATTACTTCATGTTGTTGATAACGTATATAAAAGTGGCCCACTCTCTTCGACTTCTGCTTTCCCTTATGAAAATGGAATTTTTGTGCTAAAGCAGAAATTAACTGGTCCGAAAGGAGCTTTAATACAAATGTCTAAACGTCTAATCCAGAAAACTATTTTAGAAACCGAGTTGTTAAGTACATCTGATAATAAACCTTCCCGTTTCTGTAAAAATATTTTGCGTAATCATCTTATATTGAAAGAAACAGAGTTGAAAACCAATTCAGGTGTAATTCTTTTAGCGAAAGATAATAATCTAAATACAAATATTAAAAAAGTTTTAAATAATAATTTTGCGGATATAAGATTAGAAGATGTAAAAGCTTTTAATAAAGCAGTTTATAAAAATGTCATATACACTACTACTTGTTATAACAGAAAAACAAAAACTGATGACAGATTTTTTGAAAGTTTAACTGGTGATATAATTGAAATATTCAAAATTGTTTTATATAAAAATGAATCTTATATTTTAGGATATAAACATAATGTACAGTTTCTGTGTATAGAACACGTGATAATTGATTCATTTTTCAAGATAATATCTAAATCTCATAATCTCCATTTATTTGCTTTTCAAGATATTAAGAAAAAGGTTGTATATATCAACGTCGAGAATGGACCATACTTTTGTCGAATGCCGAACACTTATGAGATCCAATAATATTTTCCGTGATATTATCCTTATATTTTTCAATCTAAAATATGAAATATTTTGTCAGGGTATTCACTTTTTCATAACTTTACCATAATACTTTTTTACATAGAATAATGAGTAAAATCGATTATTATAAAAAAAGAGAAATATTTAAGTAAATTCAATACATTTTGCAAATACATTGATATGCTTGTGTAATGATTAGTATCTATCTTTAATTGATGTCTCTCGTTACCTCAGCAAAATTATTAAAAAGTGAATACTTTTGTAGAATATAGTATTATTTTATGCATAAGCTAAACATATTACTTTTGTATACTTTTTTCAAAAAATATTCCTGAATTTATTTTCTTTGTTTCCTTGCAAAATAAACTTTGTAAATGTATATTGATTGGATTTCATAACAGTTACAGTATCCGTTTTCTTTGTAATGATTGCATTTGGTAAAATATAAGCAGTATATATAGAACTGCAGAATAAATAATTGTTTTTGTCATTACTTACATTAATTTTTTTAGTGCTGCGGACGCTGATAAGAATTTTATTTCTTTCTTGTTTATAGATTAATCAGTTTCAGAAAATTATTCTTGTTTAGAAGCAATTAAGGCGCATTATTATAGTATTCATCCATTACTACACTGCCATCCATCACTAATAGTTGTCGATTTACACATATAAGTATTCGTTATAATTTACTACCCCTCCATGCACTTCTTTTTCTTCTTCCTCTTTTTTAAACTGTAAAATATTAATATTTAACTCTTAGTCATCAGATATCTAAAAATAAAATATAAATTTTTAACAAGAAGAAGCAAATAAGTTATAGATACACTACAGGTAACAATAATTGCTAAACATGATTTAATAAAGGCATAACAGGAAATAAATGTTTCTTTGAAATATTTTTGAAGAAGTTGATTCAAGTTTTCTTCCTAACTTTCAGAACAGCTTTTAGTATTTGAAAATTAAAGATATTGTCATATTGTCTTTATTTCATAATAACCAACATAACATATCATGTATATAAAGTCAACTATGTCTATTTTATTACATAATATATATATATGTATATGTATATATATATATATATATATATATATATATATATACATAT